TATAAAATGATTAAATCTTTATACACTTTTAATATTCAGAAGAAATAGCGACTTACATAATAGTATGCATTATATTCTTCTTAATAATAAAGTAATGCGAATAATTAATAGTTTAAAATATATTTTGATAATCTCATTCATTCGTTTTATTAGAAAATGTAGTTTGCAGCATAATTTTTATAACAGCTGGCCTTCAATATTTGGTAACTTAAAAATTCATTTCTGATAGTTTAACGTAATACGATTTGTTTTCAACAATTTTAGTTAAAAACAAAATTATTTTATACAAAAAAAAGCTGTTATACAATTATTATTACCCTGTATAATATCCGTCAATGCAAAAATGTCTTTCGTTTTAAGAAAATGTACTGTTTACTCACGTTCGGGTGTTGGGTTCGACAACATACTGTCATTTTGATATTGTATGCATGAATTTTAAAATATTCCATTGAACTACAACGAAAAACATATGCTGTTCAATGAGAAAGAATATTAATTCATTTTAATGAACGTATCCGATGATAGCCGATGTTGAATTATTTTACACATTTTCTAAGTTGTACAGTTTATAAATTATCATTTTAATTATTATTACACAACATAAGCACATTACAAGAATAATTAAAGTACTATCTTGATTGTTCATAATGGCGGCAAACTCGTGTCTTATAATTATTTTAATATTCGAGCTGGTTTTCTATTCAACAACTATGACGTCAGCGTTTCTATGGTCTGATATGCTTACAGCTAGACCGATTGCTGACGTCAAAGTAAGAGATGCAGCCGAGAATTTGGGTCTTCCTAAAAAAACAAAGGTGAATAAAAAATATAAAACATATTCCATTTGTAATTATTGTTAAGATTTGTTTTCTTTATGTTCTAATACAATTTCGCTAAAACATGCCAACGGTGTTAGGCTAAATCGTTATCTAGATAAAAAATTCGAATAACGACTAAAAAATAAGAAAATTATTCAATGTAGGTATTCGAATACAATTGTCTGTACAATTTGAACGATTCAATTTTTTTATTCGAACCTATTAAATAATTTGTTCATCTTTTATTTGAACATATTTCTTTACACGGATATGTGAGGCGGTCAGATGCCAAACCGATTGACTCTACTTTTTTCAAACTACGAATAATAGCATGGTTGGATTAAAAAAGTGTATAATTTTCAGTGGCCAAGATAAATAACTCCATAGTTGAATTTTTCACCACAAGAGTTCGCTAAGAAAATTGGCAATTGTACTTACATACATTGTTTCAAATAACTTTAACTGCCTGTCCTAAAAAATTTAATTTTATGGAGTTACCTAATCAGTTTGGCTTCTGAGCGCCTCATATTGTCTTTTGCTCGGGGTGAATAAGAAAATCTGCTGAACGATGCCGAGAAAAATGTGTGCGTGTGACAGCGGTTGTTTTGTGAACGAAACAGCTGATAAATAATTTTTAATATGATAACAGATTAGAAATAAAATATTTTTTTAGCAAAGCTGATATTATAATTTTCATGAACAGGGACCACGTCAATGTTTTCTTTTCTACATAAATTAACTGTCCGGAATAAAGAATAAAGCCATGACGTTTCATTTTTAAAAAATATTGAACAAATAATGTCAAGGGGGGTGGCTCTCCCCAGACATACGCTTGCCAATGGTACCAACGATTTAGTTCATGTTGCATACAATAATCTATTATACAGAGCGTCCCCAAAAAAATGGTAGGGTTAAGAATGGTAGCGTCCTCACAAGAGAAGTGATCGAGTTCGCAAAGCGTAAATTTCAAAACTTGACAACTTCCTCTTTCATTCAAGTCCTACCAGAGCGCCGTAGGTCCAATACTTCACAACCTACAGCCGTTTGAAACCCCGCCATTATTTTCGGGACACCCTTTATTTATACCTACACTACACGTTTATCTTAATATTTTTTAATATTGCAAATTTCCACGTTCTTAGGACGCGTTATCGTATCAATACATCAACGTAGGAAATTATTCAAACGATTTTATCGAACTGCTGAATTCTTACAATACGTTCAAGACGCCGGAGAACCCTCCCATCCGTTTCGACAACAACGAAAAAAGAATATTGACCACGAGCAACACGGAAGATTCGGTAAATGATAAAATACTCGCTCAGCTGAAATTCTATCGCAAGATACAGGAAATCCAGTGCGCAGACTATTTGATATTGCAGTACAAGTTGTACGACGACCCCGGAAGTAGTGTGAAAGGCATTGCCGAGTGGGTATACAATATGATAGCGATGGCATACGAAGGGAAATCCGTAGTGTTCCGTTGGTTGTGGAAATTGCATATCGACCTATGGAATATTGCGGAACGCGTAGAACAATCACATAGTAAGGAGGCGATAGAGAGTGATCTAATCAGCTTAGAACACTACCGTAAACCTTTAGTCGATTTGGTGAGAATGTGTGTGAAACATGTATACATAACGGGCGATGGTCTAAAAAATCCTGAACATGAAAAAACTGGGAAATCTACGCTCCAAAAAATAATGTGGAAATGTAATATTTGTGACCACGAACGTGAAACAACTGGTAAATGTGTGTCCCACAGAATAATGGAATGTTATGAGTCTAACGACGAACTAATTAAAAATTATAAAAAAGATAAACCCGTATTGCCTATCTTAGTCGCACAGTTATACTGGAAAAAGGCATGGAGTCAAGAACATCAAACTGTGATTGAACCAATACCTTATATTATGGTAAAATGGTCTAAGATAGAGGACGTGTACAAGTGTAATTTTATGATTGCCTCTGAACAGTTTGAAACTACTAAAGGCGTCCACTGGCCGGTGGATCCATTTAAAAGCATACGACTTCAGAAAACGTTTATGGATATCATCAGATTAAAACTGTATTGTTATATTTATGTGCAACTATATGCTTATCAACGAATCAGCGCCCCTAAAAACTCCGGACCTTCTAACTTTAATGATTTATTTAAGGGCTGTATACATGACATTCTTAAGTTCAGTTATATTGAAGACGAAACATTAAACCGAGTATTGGCATTGTACATTAATATAAAAGAACATGGTGACAAAGCGATTGAAACCGTTTTAGAACTAATAACATATGAAGTTGAAAACATATTAAATATATTAATTGAAAGTCCTATTATAAATTCAGATTTGGCCAACCTTGTAAACACTAATGTAAAGAATAAACTAGAATACAATATTTTCCGCAGAGATATTCATACCCACTGTGACGAATTCAAGAAAACTATAAAAGCATATTTAAATGGGTTAACGTTTGATGTTTTATTATTCTTTATCATCGGAAGTAAGAACATAGACCTTACCGTTTTCCCTGAAAATTGATGTAAATACAGCTAATAAGAATATTTTAATAATATTACGAGTACATACGATGGTTACTAAAGTTGTAATAATTACTATACATTTATATATTTACAATTTGTATAGTTAAGATACTGCATACTTATTTTTTTCTGGATATACATAAATGTAAAATACAACAGTTTGCTGGATAAATTATTTTCCACTTAAATTTTAAGTTGTGATTGGTTTATAATTTATATTTACATAAAACAAACATTAAATTTGAAGCACTTTAATATTATTATTATTATTTTTTTTTTTTTTGTTGACTGCCCTGGGCCTAAGATCTTCCCTGGGCCTTTCCTTTCGGATAAATCCGCTCCTGGTTTGCCAAGCTCCAGGTAAACCCTGACTTGCCAAACTTCCACTGTAGATTCCTGCCAACTAGTTAGTCCTGACAAAGGACACTGGTACCTTTTACATCAAGTTAAGCTCTGTGGACTTGCACTGCTATTGGTTTTTTATAGAACCAAGAATGGAGACAGTTAATTATTTTTCATCTTTATCCAGAAATAGTTAAACATTTTTTATTACTACTACTACTTATTTCTACTATGAATCAAGTCTTAAAAAAATGGATCTTGTGCGACTTTGTTATAACATGAGTAAATGCAACCTATCTACAGTTAATTTTTAAATATTGATTGATGTGTTATTCCGCGTATCTACATATTTTATAATAGGTACTACTATAATAGATAGTATAATAGATACTAGTAGCTGATAGGCTGGATAGAGCACTATGGCTTAAGTACTGATTAGTATTGATAAGCATAGTGTTAGGTGCCTCGCCCACCTAAGTCTATATACTTGTTTGAAAAGAAACAGATTTGCTATGAAAGCGAGTGTCCGATGTTACTTACCTTACTATGAGAGAAAAATAGTTATAATACAAAAAAATTTCTAGAGATTTATCTTTTAAAGGAAAGCTTAAGTAAAGCTGTTAATGATACAATATATATAACAGTTTGTATAAATCTACTTTACCGGCCTTTTTTTATTTTTGCCGTTTAATAGTGTTTTTTTTACGCTGATTTCAAATCTGTAATGAGAAATCCGCAGACTCATGTATAATACGCCACGTAAAAAGCCGGTTTTTAGATAGCCACCGAGGTTGCTTCTTATTTTGAACATAGTATGGGTTTTTCGCATTTAGAAGCGTTTAACATTTAGTAACTAATAAGACCTTACATATATTTTAATAAAATTAACACATTTAATAATAAATGACGTTTACATCTTTTAGAACGACAATTTCTATTTGTTAGGTATATAGTATACACACGCAATTACATAATATTAAGTCAAAGTCACAAACAACAGTGCATTATAATAAAATAGTTTTATTCAACAATATTGAAGGATAAACGTAATAATATGTAGTAGTGCTTAAGTTGTAAGCAAATTAATGAGCTATAATAATTCAAAATTATAATTTCGTCTGGAACAGTTTTAATTAACGTGGATTTTTAAAACTATTATCTATTTGCCTAGAAAAATAATTTGAGGTTAAATTGTCTCGAAGGGAGGGAGCTCTTCACATAAAAAAAAATCTGTGCGCTAAATGCTAATGACAAACATTAAAATTAGAGGAACTTCCGAAGAAAAGAGGGAAGTCGTTTACGGCGCTTATTTCTGATTGCTAATTTTGTATTTAATTCCTTTACATATTCTTGAAGGGCCGCCTGCTTCAAGGGATCTAATTTAGCAGGTACGTCGTCATACATCTTGGTTTCATCTTCCAATTTGGTCACAAACCGATATCCGCAGTCTTTTCTCATTATCCTCTTGCATCCATAAGTACCTCCCATACGTCTAATAACTGATTCATAGTGTTGTATGCCACAACAAGCATAAAAAGATAGATTTTCTTTGCAGAATTCCTCTTTTGCAAGTTTTTCATCATCTCCTGCACTGATGTACTCATTAGCTACTTCCGAGAGGTATCGTCTGAGTGTACCAACTGACCCTAGAACGTGAAAGTTTACTTAAGAGTAATTTCTTTAAAAATTCATAATCCTATAACTGTTAATTTGTTATACTTCCATAATGATAATGATGTACTTGTATCACGTATAATTGTGCACTGAGTAATATAAAAAATAAGTCCAACTTACGCCACTTTGGTCTTTTCCTTTTAAAAAAATAATAAATGGTTTCATCGTGGGTAAAACTACGCAATAAGCCATGTTCCTTTATGCAATTAATAGCAATATCTACTGCCGAATGATTATCACTTTGGTTTTCTATAATCTCATATGAATTTTCAAACGTCGCTCTTACTACCACCTAAAATATGTAAACGATAAACAAATAGTGTTTAACTTTTACCTTGATCTTAACAAAATTAAAAATGTTGTTTATTTTAGTATACCATTTTCCTCAAACTTTAACTGATAATAATTAGTTATTCATCAGCCTAACACATTAAAACATTTGGAAGCTATTCGATATTCTACTTTAAATTATGTATGAGTTATGTATCACAGTCCACAGATTCCTTTTTTTTTCAAACTTAATTAAAGTGCCGTTTGCGGATATTATCAAAATAAATAGGCGTAAGGAATAGGAGAAAGCGATAAAATCAAATAGTACAACCTTGATATTGATGTATTGTTTAAAATAATATCAAAATATAATTCAAATGTAACATAAATTTCCTATACTTGTTGGGATTAATAGGTAATATTTATTATTTCTTACTGTTATTGTTTAACAACGAGCAATTATTGTATTTCTTTTTAAATCATATTTTTGGTAAAGAAATAACTTACTAAAATGGAAAACAGTATTATAATCTTCATAATGTTTGTTAACGCGACCACTGTAAAATTGTTATAACCTTATAAATCATGAAAATGTAATAAATTTATAATTGCAATGCATCAAGTATAATAATTAAGTATAAACAACAGGAGGTCCCTATAGTTACGTGACAGTCAAGTAATTAAAATTAAAGTATTTTTTTTTTTTATTCAATTAGAGTTTTATATTGTCAGACTGTCTTCCAGCCAATAACGTGCGGTTCGATAACAATGCCGGTTTGCAATAAATGCTTAACACTGGCACGCAAAATGTGTAAATTCAACCAAAGAAGAAGTTGAATCTTTCAAGTCAGATAGCACCAAATGGAAATGTGAAAATTGTACAAGAGACAAAAGGCAAAGTATGAGTTTAGAAAACAAAACAATAGCAGGTAATTTAACTCTACTAGACATAAAAAACTACTAGATACTATAAATAATAACCTTAACACACATAAATTCGATATTAACCAACTATTTAATAATTTAGACGACAGACTGGCCAATTTAATATCTGAAAATAGTGCACTAGCTAAACAAATCACCTTTTTACAAACAAAAATTTCATATCTGGAACAAAAACTCTTAGCAAACGAAATCATTATAGACGGCATTCTTGAAACCCCAAACGAAAATATAATTGAAACAGTTAAGCTCGTAGTACAAGAACTAAATGTAAAAATTGAAGAAAATACGATTAATGACTGCTATAGAGTCAAAAATCACCGAATAAACAAAACACAAATCGACTAATCATTAATTTCACTAGGCATATTGATAGAATTAACTTACTCAAAGCTAGTAAAATCAAAAGAAACCTGTCCACAAAACATCTAGGAATGGATTCAAATTCAATGATATACATGCGAGGAAACCTAACTCCAGAAAACAACTATCTATTTAAGCAAGCGAGAGTAAATAACTTAAACATGTCTGGACTTCAGAAGGAAGAATATTCCTACGGAAAGACGGCACATCTTAAGTTATACCGCTGGATAATGAATGTTTTACACACATCGTACATACTTCTTTAAACTAAATAGTCACAAATTAGTACCCGTATTGAAAAATACTTTAATATATAACTTATTACTGACACGGCTCTAATCGTATCAAGTGAAACTTGGGAAGAAGTTTTTTACAAAATCCAGACCGATATTAAATATATACAATTATGGTTATTAAAAAGTAGTTTATTTTTTAATTTAAAAAAAACATATATTTTACCACACTATCTAATCAACAAAGATTTTCCAAATATTGATCATAATTTACATACATTCTGCTGATTGCAATACCCTAAACACATGCTCCTTTAATGATATATTAAATATTAATTATAATGTCAAATATTTAGGTATAGAAATGGCCCATAATCTAAAATGGATAAAACATATAAATTCACTGATCACGAAAATAAGAAAACTCTCGTATGTCTTTAAACAACTTAGATCTATTTTAAACAAAAATCAAATTAAAACAGTGTACAATGTATTAGTAGAATCAACACTGATTTATGGCATAATTGCACAGAGTGCAGCAAATAAAAGTAATCTAAGTAAATTACAAATTTTACAAAATAATATTCTAAGAATAATTTTAAATAAAGCCCGTGATTTTCATGTTAGTAACTTGTATGAGATATTAAATATTCTAACAGTAAAAAAACTTTATTACAAAACAACAGTTACCTTCTTAGTAAAAAACAATCTAGTTAAACCCATTTCCCATAATTTTAATACCAGAGGTAAATTAAATAATATTATCACCCCAAATGTACATAAATCCGCCTCTCAATCTTCTTTTCTATATACTGGTCCAAATATTTATAATAACCTCCCTTACGAATTACATAATTATAAAAATTATGATACATTCAAACTAAATTTAACAAATTGGTTATTACAACAAGCTGCTGATTATACTCCTATATTGCGAATTTCATAACATCAATTACTCTACTTCGTTATAATTCTATGTGCTAACCATCTTAAGTATAAATAGGTTTTTTATCTTAATTTGAGAAATGCATTTAATAAAACTTGTATTTGCTATAGTTAAGGCTCATGGGCCCCCATACGAGCTTTCCCAGTGAGCTGTGAGGCCCATTATAAAATGTATTATGTTATACCTATGAATTATTTTGTATTGAATAAACAATAATAATAATAATAATCTTAAGTTTTAAGTACTCAAAATGACCTCTGGAACAATTGTGTATAAAATAGCTTATAGGCCATAAAACATGTTAATGTAAATCTATAATATTTATGCTTACCGATTAAACGTATTTATTGGTAACAACAGCTAACAATTGGACAAGTAGGTGATGAATAAAACAAGATACACTTTTAGTATGGATTTCTGTTTTTGTTTACTTTTATTTTGACGTTTAGGCTTTTACAAATGATCGACTGTTTTTTTTCTTAACAAAAACATAAGTTGTTTTGATCAAAACGGGTACTTCCTGTATGAACCTGTGAATATTTTGACATTGATTTATGTTGTTTTTCGTTTTTACTATAAAATATATAAAAATAGACAGCGCTTGTTAAAGTAGGTGACGTCTTCCTAGTTAGGCATCAATCGAATCCATTGTTTGTCGGATTTATAGCTGTTAACGTATTTGCTAAATTAACATAAGTAAACAAAGAATATATAAATGTACGACTTAACTGCCTTTTTATTTTACGGTTGAAACCGTTTATTTTTCAGCAAAAACAATTATTGGTCAATAGCATAGGGTTGTGCTCGAAAAGAAATACTACCAGTCGCAGGGGTAAAACACAAGTCCGTCAATAATAATAATCAAATAATATGTTAGCACAATGACATTGTTCGTGTATTAAAAATGTGATGATTTATGTAATACATAATCATATATTATTTTATAACATAGTATACTTAGCGTTGGCAAGGATTTCAAAAGCTGTAAGCTAGACGACAACAGTGGAAACGATTCCGAGTGCTTTATGTGTATATACTAAAAAAAAAAAAGCAAAGGAAAAGGAGAGGGAACATAAAAAGGGACGCCGGCTTCAAAGCCGATTGCCCATTACGTCAACTAGGTCGTCCGACCATTACATAATATATTTTTGTGCCGTTCATTACTGCAAATCACCCTATTCTTCCCCTCGGCAAATCCGTCCAGACGAGATCTTTGCGACGGTTTCCTTCCAGTGGACAATATTATGCAATCGGACGCACTTACATATATATATATATATATTATTATATTCTGTACTTGCATTTCCACGGCCGCGGCTATTTACTGCCTGCCATACGCACAAATACTACACAAAAGGGATAACCTATGCACATGCCTATAAATGTAATAAATTTAACAAATAAAACGCATTTATCATGGTTTATTGCTACTATGGACTCTATATACTATTATACATCCACGATGATATTATGGCCGTCGTTTTTAGTGCTTGTCCGCTATATTGTAGGGTATATCGTTTCTTTTTTTCTGTCCGGGCCAAGTAGTTTTCTTATGTTACGCGTTTAGCAAACAAGTCCATTTTCCGATTAGCTCCATTTTACACTCAGCCATACCTACCCCCCCCCCCCAACGGGGTAGTTAACGGCGACGACAAAAACCTTAATAATGATTGTGGCTTCCTTTGCGAGACACCGCGGATGCTAATTTATTCAAAACACTTGCCGAGTACAGAACGTTCAACGTCGTGTGTATAGATGTATATTGCGCAAAGGTCAAATAATTGGAATGCTAATAATAATAATTACATTTTCGGTCGATCAACAAGTACGTCGCGGTTGCCTGTACGTGCCAGTGTCGACGATTTATCATTGTGCGTTTTCCTAGGACTCCACAGGTCACCGGCAAACATCATCCAAGTATTATAGTTTATAACAATCGGCAGATACAAGTATGCTTATAATAATATGTTGACGAATAAAGTTGTTCAACTTATGGAAAAATACATCCAAACTAGGGAGGAGCTTTAGCCTACGTAGCCTCTCCTTGTACCCCCCACCACACTTTGCTCATTGCGCTGGCGGTATTATTATAATACAATAACGTCTGTAGGTAGATGTCAAGAGATTATGTTACACTACTAAGGGTAGTAGGATTTTTTTTTACAAAAAAAGCAAGCTCCAGTAAACAAAACACCATAGACAGTGTGCATTGCAGCGTGTCCGGCAAAAAGTATGTTTTTGTTTTTCAATTGTCTTTGTGACTGCGGCGTGAGCTTATGATGTTATTTATACCGAAGGTAGTGGTGTTCAGTCGTTTGTGAAATAGACTAGACTCGGGATTAAAGCCGACATCCCGGGTACGTTTAATAACGCAGCAAGTCGCACAGACCGTAAGCGTACGGGCCTGTGGTATGTGTGGGGGGTTACACAAAAGCTGA